AGGAGGAGCCGGGGATCGACCCAACAACCTTCTGATTGGGGGACGACCCGCTCTGCCTCTGAGCCACAGCCGCCCCAGCAGATTCCACTGTTCTGGTTGCAAAATTAAAAGTGAAAAGTTCTTGCCAATACACACCCCTACTAGATACAAATATCCTTTTTTTTTTAGTTCATTTTAGGTGAAAATTGCCAGGAATAATAAATAAATTTTTTTTATTTGCTACAGACCCCCAAAAAATTCTCATTATGATTTTTTAAAAAAGTTATCAGTGAAAATTTGTGATATATTAATTATGATTTCCACTAACAATGAATCATATAGCATCTGTCAAAATAATCGCAGTATGATATTTTTACCATATCGTGCAGCCCTACCCACTGCAGTTGTCAAATAAAATAGTGCATGTTTTCACTGACTTGCAGCTGACTAGCAGCAGTGTATCATCAGTCTGATAGTCACATTGTTACACTATTTATAGCCAGCTAAAATATTATGCAAGTTTGCAAGTGTGCAAGTTATTCAGCCAGAAAACCACCAGGAGCATTATAGTAAAAGACATTTTTAGTCCTTGTTTGCATATGTGCATGCATCAAATAGCTAAAGCTTAGTGTCTCATGTGGTTTTGACAAACAAACATGCCATATTTATTATATATATATATAAGTTTTTCCACCATTTTCAAATCTTCCACAACACATTTAATATTTCTCACAGCATGACTGGATTGTTCTGAATGACTTAACTAAATTGATTGTTGTTACTTTACTTCTACAGTAAACTAACCAAGTGTCATACTGCACTCATATATTACTCTTCATATTGAGATTCTGCAGTGTAGAAAGCCCTGCTCTCTAATCTTCTCTTTCTCTTGCTCTCTCTGTCTTTCAGCCAGTAATTCCAATGTTTACTCAAAATGTGCGGGAAGGCTTCAGATCTCTGGGAACACTCAGTAAGTGTAGAAGAAAGTTCAAATAATAAAAAGATACCATTACCAAGCTGATGGTATCTCTGATGCACACAGAAATTGAAGTTACACAGGAAGACACAGCACAGGTCATTCCATGCACACAGTGGACTATATTCATTGTTTGTTTGTTGACAAGAGGAAAAACAGAATATATAGATGGTGTGGTAGCTATCTTGAGAATACGTTTAGGGCAGTGTGTTGTCCTGACTCAATCTGATGGTAAGCTATTCATTTGTCATTGTCAATAGTCTTTATATCTCTCCATGTAACATTCTCTCTTTGTCTTTTTCCATCCAGGATTTTTCCGCTGGGTGTATGAGAGGTTTCGCCTCCCTGCTGCTCCTGTTTATGGTGGATTTCCTGTCAAGTTCCGGACCTTCCTTGGTGACCCCATCCCGTATGATCCCAACATAAATGCTGCAGAGCTGGCAGAGAAGGTGAGTGTGCTAAAGCATTGTACTGCTGGGGAATTCTTTTTTCTCTTCAAATCATGTAAATCATTGACAATTATTAGTGTTGACAGTCTTTTGGGTTAAAAATGTATTGATCTTTTAAATCTATTACTGTATTTTTTTAAAAATAACTTCATATTTGTCCTGACAGTTACTTTGTTTACTTTATGTTCTTTAATACAGAGTCTGATAGATGTCATGGAGGAAAAATAATAATCTGCATGCCTGCATACAATACCAAACAATTGTTGACATTTTATCATATGTTAAAGATAGCACAATATTGTTCAAAAGACAGACAAAGGCAAAAAATGATTGATTTGGGCAAATTCTGTAGCATAATACTTTCACACCCCCAAAGCCTAGGACACTGTTAACAATCAGTTAACAGCTCATTAAGCTGAAAGCTCAGTATTTTAATAGCGGACTTGTCCTAGGTCATTTGCTCTTTCTGTTAGGACTTAGAAATAAAGGTATGTGTGTATGCCAGAGAACACTTGAAATGTGAGTGGCTGCTTTGTTGGGTTTAAGGGGGTGCCTGGTGAGGTGGCTACTGGGTGTATGTGTAGATGTTTGTATTTATGGAGGGAATAGTTGCAATGTGTACAAGTAGCATTAATTCATATATGTTCATCAAGTGTGATGTTGTACACCTTGCTTCATCGTTTTTATACTGAAGGATTTTTGTATGACTTTTAATGTAGCAAGGGAACAAGGAGGAACCCACATAGTAACTGACTGGAGTAGACTTTTCAGCCTGTAGTTTCTACCACTACAGATGTTTATAAGTTTTGATAATCATGAGGTTAATCCCTATGCACAAAAAGTGTTACTACGGTCCAAGTCAACATTTGTTGACGTCAATTCTATATTGTCATATGGATTTCTGCTGTTCAGTGCATTCATTTGCTGTTATCACACACTGCAGATGGTTGGTTTCTTTCTGTATAAGTGGCAGCTACACCACTTACCACTGAAGTTTTGCATTTTGATGGGTCCTTCACTATATATCAATTCAATTCAATTTGTATAGCGCCAATTCATAACAGAAGTTATCTCAGGACACTTTTCAAATACAGCAGGTCTAGACCGAACTCCTTATAACATTATTT